ATGTCCACCAAACCAGCACTCCAAAGTGTCTGAAGGATATTCCAGAAAGAGATGATAAGGATTACAACTCCATGATCCCCATCAGAATCAATCTACCAGGCAAGGCAAGAAATTAAACAGAAAAGGAAAGAAGGAAGGCAACAACAGGAAAATAACATGACAGGGATAAGTCAATACATATCAGTTATAACCATCAATGTTAAGGGTCTCAATTCACCAATCAAAAGAAACAGACTGGCAGAATGGATCAAGAAGCAAGATCCAACAATATGCTGCATACAAGAAACACATTTAATTGAAAAATTCACAGACTGAAAGTCAAGGGATGGCAAACAATACTCCACGTGATAGGAGCCTGGAAAAAAGCAGGGGTAGCTATTCTATTTGCAGACAAAGTGGATTTCAAGCCAAGACTGATTAAGTGAGACAAAGAAGGTCACTACTGGAAAAGGGAACAATCCAAGAAGAAGAGATAACAATCCTAAATATATATGCACCAAATAGCAGCTCACCCAGCTATTAATGGACATGAAAAATCATATAAGCACTAATTCAGTTGTAATGGGGGACACCTCAATACCCCACTGTCACATATAGACAGATCAACTAGACAAAAAAATCAACAATAAAATATTAGAATCCAACCAAACTTTTGAACAGATGGACTTAGTAGATGTTTACAGAGTGTTCCACCCCACAACATTAGAATACACATTTTTCTCAGCATTTTTCCAACCACATGGAATTAAGTTAGAATTCAGTAATAGAACGAACTCTTGGAAGTCCTCAAAAATTTGGAAATGAAACAAATAATTCAGAACTTCTAAATAACTCATGGGTCCATAAAATCAAAGGAGTAAATGAGGAAATATTTTAAATTGAATGAAAATGAAGATACAACATAAGGAAACATGCAGGATGCTGCAGAATCAGTACTGAGGGGAAAAATCATGGCAGTAAATGTCTATATTAGAAAAGAAAGGTGTGAAATGAATAACTTCAGCTTATACCTTAAGAAACTAGAAAAAGAGCAAGCTAAATATAAAAGAAGCAGAAGCAAGGAGACAATAAGATCAAAAGAGAAATGAAGCCAGGGATTTAGCTCAGTGGTTCTGGCGCCTGCCTTGCAAGCGCAAGGTCCTGAGTTCAATCCCTGGTACAAAAAAAAAAAAAAAAAGAGAGAAATGAAAAGAGGAGAACAAGAAAGCAGAAATCGGTGGAGCTAAAAGCTGGTTGCTTATCAATAATGTTGATAACCATTAGCTGTATTGGGGAACGGAGAGAAGACACCAATAATACAAACATTATGGACCTGCACTAATACACATTTGAACTAAAGTTCACTCAAGGGGAAACAGTCTGCATAGGCCCACACTCACAAAGAAAACTGGCTTCATAGTTAGAAATCTTCCCACAAAGAAAACTTTAGGCCCAGGTGAGCTTTGTAGTGCATCTATCAAACACTTCAGAAAGCAATAATATGACTTATCATAGACTCTTCCAGAAAACCAAAGATAAGGGAATTACCCCCAACTCATTCTCCGAGGTTAGCATTACCTGGACATTGAAACCAGGTGAAGAGCTGTAAGAAAACCTGAGACCAGTATCTTTTCATGAACAGATGAAAAGAATTCTAAATAACATTTCAGCAAATCAAGTGCCAACACAACCCGCTGGGGAGAGGAGAATCTTTTTAATAGGTGGTGCTGAGCCAGCCAGACCCTCTCCTTACAAAATACAGAAGAAGGCCACCTCCAAATGGGCCACAGGCTTCAGTGCGAGAGCGGAAACACCAGAGTAAGTCTTCACAACCTGGTTTAAGCAAAGTTGTCTTAGACATGGGACCAAAAGTCCTTTCCCTTTGGTGCTTTTAGGCTTTGTTTTTGGTACCAGGGATGGAACTCGGGACCTTGGACTTGTAAGGCAGGCACCGGAACCACTGAGCTAAATCCCCAGCCCCAGTGCTTTTAGGCTTTTGATAAACTGGATTTCATAAAAATGGTATTTTGTGTTTCAAAGGATACCACCAAGAAACTGCAAGGTAGTTCACAAATTGGGAAAAAATTTGCAAATCAGACATCTGATAAGGGACTCGACTCCAGAATACATAAAGAACTCTGAATAATTCATAACAAAAAGATTAACCCAAGTTTTGAAATGGGCAGGGGATCTGAATAGATATTTCTCCATGGCAGATACATAGACGGCAAATGAGGACAGGAAAAGATGTCCAATATCATTAATTTTAAAGCAAATGCAAATCAAAACCACAACAAGGCACCACAAGGAAGAGGTAAAATCGTATTTATTTGAGGACAGTGTGAGCCTATGTACATAAAAAGTCCCAAGAATCCTCAGAAAAACTAGCAGCACTAATAAATGAATTTAGCTAAGTCAAAGGACACAAGATCAATATATAAAGATTAATTGTAGCCCAGCAATTTCCAAATGAACTTATGCACTCCCAGAAGCACACAAAGAATATAACAAATAAATTCACCAGTTATAATAATAAAGTAAGTGTAGTCATGTGCCTAGTAATAAATAATAAATCACTGATGATCTGTTAATAGATTTAACAGAAGTGTTGCAAGACTGCATGGAAAGTGACAAACACCGCGAGAGGGCACAGCTGTGAAGGAGTGCAGAGAGGCATCGTGCCGCGACCTGGGCCACCCAGCGTCACTCAGATGCTGACCTCTCCAGGGCCGGGGTGGGATCCCCGCCCAAACCCCAGCAGGCTTTGACTGTGGGGCACAAATTGACAAGCTGAGTCTAAAATTCGGATGAACACGTGAAGGTCGCAGTGAAGCCGATGCGACTTTGAAAACGCACGAGGTTGGAGGAATCTCTCATTGCAAAGCCAGCTCAAGGCTGTGATGACGAGGATAGCGCAGGACTGACTCGGACCTGGGGTCTCGGGTTCGAGGGTGGGACCGAGGGCCCAGGCAGAACACTACCCCTGGGTGAGCTGGCCACGCACGGTGCCCAGGCAACGCAGGAGGAAGGAGTCTTCCCACCAAGGCACTGGAAGATGAGCTCAGACCCTGAACATCCACAAAAAGCAGCTCAAAGTGGATCACATATCGGAATGCAAAATCAAGAACTGTAAACATTCTACCAAAAAACCCATGAGAATATCTTTGTGAACTGGGGTGAGGCAGAAAAGTCCTAGATACAGGAGCAAACTGAGATCTGTAAAAGAAAAAGTTGGCAGGTTCAAATTTAGGGTGGCACACGCCTGCAACCCCAGCTACTCGGGACTCGGAGGTTGGAGGATCGTGAGTCTGAGGCCAGACGGGGCAACTCGGCAAGATCCTATCTCCAAATAAAAGGACTGGGGGTGTCGCTCAGTGGCAAGCATTTGCCTCGCATGCATGAGGTCCTGGGTTCCATCTCTAGCATCAATCAATCAATCAATCAATCAATGCAATAAAACTTTTACTGTGCGTAAGACATTAAGAAAAAGAAAATATAAGCCGGGCATTGCAGTACATGCCCATAAATGTCAGCATTTTGGAGGCTGAGGCAGGAGGACAGGGAGTTTGAGGCCAACCTAGGCTACATAGAGAGACCCTGACTCAAAAAGTCAAGAAGAAAAGAAAACATAAGCCATATGCTATAGAGTGAAAGAATATATAGATTTGCAAAGATATGTTTGATCAAGGACTTGTATCCAGAATGCATAAAGAACTCTTAGGATTCAAGAATAAGAACATAGACAACCCCATTTTAAAAATGAGTCAAATGACTGAACAAAAATTTTTCCAAAGATCTACGAATGGCCCATAAGTACATGAAAAGGTGTTCAACATCATTTCTTATTAGTGAAATGCAAATACAAGCCACAAGGAGAGCCCACTGCACACCCACGAGGTGGCTGCCACCAAAGCGAGAAAATCAAGTGCATGTGGAGGCGGAAAGAGTGGAAGCCCACACGCTGGCTCAGGACTATGAAGGGCCTGCTTTGGAAACAGAAGAGTTTGCACATGGCCAGCAATTCTGCTGTGGGCATGTCCCCAGAAGTGAAAACACTTGTTTACACAAACATGTCCTCGAACCACTGTTTATAATGCTCAAAGGACAGCAACACAAGGGTCCATCAGCCAATGGAGAAGCAAGCAGAACGTGGCTTCAACAGAGTGGGACGCTACTGCTTAATAACAGGGGTGCTATGCACACTGCAACACGTGAGCCCCCAAACAACATGCGAGTGAAGGGAGGACGCTGTCACATTAGTGCACACCTGTCACCCCAGCACCCTTGGGAGGCTGGGGCTAAAGGGTTGCAAGTTTGAGCTCACCCCGGGCAACTCAGTGCCTTGGTGAGACCCTGTCTCAAAATAAAAAAGGGCTGGGGATGTAGCTCAGCGCAAGGCCCTGGGTTCAATCCCATCTAGGGTGGCGTGATGAGAGAAAAGACCTCACATGGAAGGACTCCTTGTGTGCGCTGTTGAGAGAAGCAAATCCACAGAGACAGATGATAGGTGAGCGGCTGCCAGGCTGCGGGTGGGGTGAGGAGTCTCTGGAGCGACAGGAGTGTTTGGAAAGGGGATTGTGGTGTGGTGGTGGCTGCCCGAATCCTTAGCTATTAAAAGCCATGGAGTCAGTTAATACAGATTAATTTCACGGTATGTAAATGATGTCTCAATAAAGTTGTTAAAATAAACCAGTTGTGACTAAATACATTTGATCTGTGCTACACACTGTGGCTCCCTAATCGAAGCAGGCTGGGCCAAGGTGAATTACTGTGTTGGGCATCACGGATGTGGCGGGAGGGTTTGGAAGCAGTGGGTTCTCCCGCACTATGGCGGGGCTCGAACCTGCCCTTCCTTGGTTTCCCCAGTGAGGAGACAAGACTGCCCCTCGGCCCACTGAGCCACAGCCCACGCCACCTGGGCCTTCTGTACCAAATCCCTGGGCACTGGGAGCCACCAAGGTGCATTGTCTGGGCCTCTGCTGCCCAGGAGCCCAGTGCCTGCTGGCCTCTGCGACACTCACAATCCGCTGTCTCCCCGTTGTCCCGCTGCAGCTGTACACGCAACGTGAAGGCAGAGCCTCGGGCCACCTCCAGCACCTCCGGACCCAGAATCGCAATCCTCGTGGCCGGTGCTGGGGAGGGCAGGGCAGGCATTAGTGGCAGGGGCAGGGAAGACACCACACGCAAGGTTGGGGGCACGCAGGGTGCAGGCTAGATAGGCTCAGAGCACATCAGGGTGTGGGTACCAGGCCACCCAGGAGCCACCAGGGACCACACAGGGTGCAGGGGCGGCCCAGGGGCCTGCAGCCAGCCCCGCTGTGGGCCACGGGCCCGTTGTGGTCATGTCGGAGTGTAGAGCTTTCCGGGGCCTGGATGGAAGTGCTTGGGACCAGGGCAGCACTGCAGACGTCCAGCCTCTGGGACTTGGGCTGAAAGGGGGTCCCTGTGGGGGGGTTTCCTGTGGCTGGAAGTGGATGGGAGGCTGTGACTGCAGCAGGATCTCTTGGGTCCAAGGTCAGTCTTGGGGCTCTGCAAGTCCACATGCCCCCGAAACTCCAGAAGAACCTGCTTCTCCTAGAGGGGATGGGACATCGGGCTCCACTCTGTTCCAGCCCCCGCCTGACATGCTCGTGTTCCAACCCACCGCGTGGCTTTCCAGGGCCCTGTGAGGGACAGGGAGACCAGCATGGGAGCAGGGACACTTACCTGCCGGGTGGCCGTTGATCCACAGCCCACAGTAGGTGACCCCTGAGCAGTGGGCCAAGCTGCCTAGCCCACTGAATACATCACTGTGCCACTGTCCCTGCAGAAAGGATAGGGGGGCCTCAGGGGTGGCTCCACAGGGACTGGGCACCCAGCAGCACCATGCAAGGCCCCAGGACCACAGGCGTGGCTCCCCTCCTGGTGCGTTGTTGGACACCCGCCACTTGCACACTCTGCTCAGTGCCCTCCTGCGTGGACCGGTGATGGTGCCACACGGGACAGAGTGCACGGCCACACCACTCCACGCAGAGACCAGCACTCGGCCAGACCCTGGCACTCCAGGTGCTGACCACAGCGCAGCCAGACCAGGTGCAGGCTGCTCCGGCACTGTGCTTCTGAAGAGGGCACTCAGCCCACGGCGTGACTCGCACCAGATGCCGGGTGCCTACTGCAGCACACACCTGGCTTCCCAAGTCACACACACAACAAAGAGCAGACAATCGTGGGAGACAGCAGGAAATACTTCCGTGGAGCCTCTCGGGGCTGCACTGCTGTCTTATTTGCCACAGCTGACTTTGTTCCTTGCTCTTGTGGAGAAATTCGCTGGGCCCTGGCTCCGGCTCCCAGCCCCCTGGATCCCAGGCCACACGGTGCGGTGGCTGCTGAGGGAGGGAGCAGAGGGGAAAAGGACACTGTGGGGCTCACAGGCCTGGGGGTAGGAGGCTGCGGCCCAAAGCCTGGGCCGCCAGTCAGAAAAGGCGGGGAGAGGGCCTCGTGTGGTGGCTCACACTCAGCTCGTGCCCCAAACCTCGCCCAGGCAGGAGAGACAGCCGCACCCCTGGGGTCTGGACAGGCCCTTCCTCCTGCGAGTCACCGAGCCATTCCTGAGGCCCCTCCAGCACCAGGACCCAAGACTGCAGCCCAGTGCGGCACTGCTCCCCCCACCCCCGTGCCTGCACCCCGGCTGCCCTCGTTCAACGTTGTCCCCTGGGCCCTGCAGTCTGATAAGAGCCATGGCTCCCCGATCACAAAAGCCCTTTCTACCTGTGCAGCCATGGACCTGAGGGCCCAAGGCTGGGCTGCAGGGACAGGGAAGAGGGGCCGGAGGTGCAGACCAGGGTCGGTGGGAACCACAGGCTGCCGGACTGAGCGGAGCCCCAGGCGCTTCCTCTTCTGGCCTCGTGCTGCCGTGGGACCCTCAGTGTTTCACCACGTGGCCAGCTCCACCTAGGGACTCGGGTCCCCGTCCTGGGCCTGTGGACATCGCTCCTGCCATCCATTCTCCTTCCTTCCCACCCAGGCCTGAGGGCTGCTCTGGTCAGCGTCCACCATGCCCACAGAGGCCACAGAGAGGCCACGGGGCCCCTTGGCGAGGGGCTCCTCTTCCCTCTGCCCACCAGCCGCCAAGGCCTCCGGAAAGCGCTGGGGCAGGTGGGTCTGGGTGCCAGTGGCCACGCCCCATCCACAGTGTGGGCTCCTCAGGGGATGGGGAGGGAGGAGGCCCAGGCACTGGCAATGGCGGACGCCACTCGGCGGTGGGCGAGATGCTGGGGGCTCCAGGGGATCCGTCCCACACGGCCAGTGGGCTCAGCAGCCTCAGCGTTTTCCCCCCAAAGCCGCGGCTGCTCCACAGCTCTGAGACCAGACAGTCAGGCCTCAGTGCAGCGTGAAGGGGCACACAGAGGTCTCAAAGGCCATAAACCGCACATCTGGATGGTGCCGTGACCCCGGGACCCACCACCTGTGGAGAGCTCCCTCCCACAGTGGGCCCGGTCACCCGGGAGCAGCCAGAGGTGGAGCTGGGCAGGGCCCTGGAGCTGTTGCCTCACCCAGCCTCCAGGTCCTCGGGGAGGACAGGGCCTCTGCACAACAGGCCCTGTGGACCAGGGCCGGGGACACCATGCTGCTGCCCCTGGCCCATGGGCTGCTGCTGGTGCCCAGGTGAGGACAGTTGTGTGGGGAGGGATGAAGGCAGCCAGGGAAGCTCCACACCAACACAGTGAGGCCCAGGCCGGGGTCCTGTTCCTGCAGCTGGCAAGGCCACCCCAGGACTAGGAAGCCCATGCTCTACCCTGGCTGGGGACACCTGTGGCACGGGCGGGGGTGCCCTTCTTCACCCTAAGGCCAAGCTGGGAGTTCAGCACGCAGCCCCCAGGACGCCACCCAGTGGCTCCTCTGATAGTAGGCCAAGGCCCTGGACCTGGATGGTGCTGGGTACTGCGTGACTGCAGACAAATCGAGCACGAAAACTCGGTGAGACTCGTGTATGCTGGAATCCACCCTCACCCTCGAACGAGTTCTCGTCCACCGTGCGCTTCCTCCCACCACACTTATGGAGGTGGCTACGGCCTGTTTCCGGTGTGTCCATCCAGGCTCTTCCCCAGGGAGCCTGGCTCTAGCTGACCGCACCAGGCAGGGGCTGCAGATGGGAGCTGAGCAGTTGGGGTGTCAGGCCACCTCCTCACTCCTGCAGGAAGCAGCTGTCCCAGGCTGCGGCCACACCTCGGACCTTCCACTGAGTGCACAGCTCCCCCAGCCCCGGGTGACACCACACGTGAGGAGTGGCCCGGCCTGTCCTCCCGGGCCCTGGGACTATGAAGGGAGAGCGTGGGAGCCTTGGCGGGTGAGTACCCCACCCTAGCTCTCCTTGCCTCCCAGTTGACAGTGGGGTATGCAGGGCGTGGGGTTTGGCCTCGGTATCCTGAGACTTCTGAGCATGGACTGTGAGCTCTGCCACCCTGACGTTCCTGACACTCGACCCTGCATGGACAGGGAGCTGGCACCTGGCTCCTGTGGTGGCAGCAGGCAGGAGAGGGGTCCTAGAAGGAGCTGCCTAGCTCCCAGAAGGGCACCACTGGCACTGATGCCACAGTGCCCATGCCCTTCCTGCAGTCTTCAGAGTAGTGCTCCTTAAGGCTGCTGCCCGATTCCTGGACTTTGCCCTCCTGGCCCCAGGACTGGCATGGGACATGGGTGGTGGCCGCAGGGCCCTGCAGTGGGGACACCAGGTAGACAGACACACTGCTCCACCAGAGGACACTCAGGTGCCTCAGCCCCATGCGGCGTCTTCTTGTGCACGGCCCTGGTGCCCAATGAGGACACCCACAGTGCCCATGGGACGCTGCCACCCTACATCCCTGGGTGTCCACCAGCCCTGAGCCCCTGAAGGCCTATGCTCTGGGCCTGGATTCTTTCCTACCAAGTGGGAAGACCTGGGCCCGTGGGAGAGAAGCTGGGGCCAAACAGACAAATCCAGGGCCACGGCTGGACAAGGAGGATGGAAGAGAAGGATTCGCTACTTTCCAGTCTTTTCGGAAAACACTGCCTGGACATAGTGACAATCAGAGTGCCTGGGGCCTGGGGCAGCTTTCTGGGGGCGCTGGAGAGCCAAGGGGCTGAGTATGACAGCGCCCAAGGGCAGTACCTGCAGGCGAGGGCAGTGGCAGGGTGGGTAGTGACACCCATGCCATCACTACTGGCTCACATGCAGAGGGACGAGGGATGAGGGACGAGGAATGGCTCTCTGAAAATCTAGGTAAGAGGGGCGAGGGAGTGGAAAGGGCCAGCAGCTCCTCAGCAAGGTGAAACCCAGGCAGCGTGATGTGGCCGTCCCACTTCCGGGGGACCCAGCGCCCGGGGACAGCTCTGCAAGGCGGTTCTGAACCCATGTCCCCAGTGGCCTGGCATCCACTGGTGCGTGAGGTGAGGAGGAAGAGGTGGGCTCTGCAGTGGAGCTCAGCTGTCACAAGGAAAGGAAGGCTGCACAGGCCACGGTGTAGGTCAGACATGAGGGTGCTGTGCCCAGAGAGGGCAGCCAGCTGCAGATGGCCCATCCCTGCTGAGGTTGTGCACACAGGCCCTGGGTGCCAGACCCACAGGGGGCAGTGCTGGGGGCCGGCCCGGGCGAGGTCACTGCCTGGGACGTGAACAGCACCACGCAACTGTGCACTGAGAAGTAGGCGCTGTGGGCAATGTCACGTCTACACACTTGATCATGATCCGTGGCTTCACCGAAGAGGGCGATGTGTTCAACTACCGACATGCAAGGAGCAAGGAGCAAGGTGCCCAGGCTGACCCCACCCCCGCCCTCCTGTCCTTGAGACTCTGCGCAGGTGGCCAAGGCAGCGTCCTGCACCACAGCCCAGGCAGAGGTTGGCAGAGCCCAAGCCGCACATGGCCCTCGGCCTCTCCTACTGCATAGGCCCATGGACAGATCGGAGCCGTTTTCCTCTCCCGAGGCTGTGTGTAACCTCCCGCTGCTCAGGAGCCCGGTGACGGCCACAGCTGTGGCGTCCCAGTGTGGATCCCCAGTCGCCCCAGAACCTGTCAGTCCCCTCGGCTTCCAGTCTCCCCTTGCCCACACAGGTCTAGGAAGAGGGTGCTTTGTCCAGCTCTGTCAAGGCCACTCATGAAAGGAAAGCAGGACACGCGCCCTCTGGTCACTCCAAGTCCCTGCTGCGGTTGCTGCAGTCCAGTGCCACTCTTCACTCTGGGCAGTTCTGGGGAACGAACCCAGGGTCCTCATACTGAGCTGCAGCCCCCACACTCCTGAGATACAGCCTCACTAAGTCACTAAGTTGCTGGGGCTGGGCTTGAACTTTCCATCCTCCTGCCTCAGCCTCCCCGAGAGCTGAATTACAGGTGTGTCACCACTCCCACATTTTTACTTCTTGATGTAGCCGGAATGTCTGAGCCGCGGACCGAGCTGGGCCTGCCCGCTCCCCTTCCCCGGTCTCTGGTCAGCATGGTGCGCTGTGTCCAGACAGCACTCAGGGCCACAGGGCAGCCAGGGGTGTGCAACAGGGCTTAGGGAGTGGGCTGCAGACGGGCCGGGAGGCTGTGCTGAGGGCACCAGTTGCTGAGCAGGGTCCCAGAGGGTGGAAGTCGCCATGCACGGCACAAAGCCTTTGGGAAATGTTGCGGACTCAGGGCCCAAAGAGAAGCCAGGCCAGTCTGGAAGGCTCCCTGCAGACCAGATCCCATGCTTGCTGGGCAGTGCCATCACAGGGGAGGCCGCGCTGGCCTAGGCTGTGGGGCCAGGAGGCTCTGGGCCAGGGCTGGGTGTCAAGCCCGAAAGTGGGGCTGCGCTGCCCCCTGGTG